AAGGGAAAATAGATAATTTTCTGCTTTTTAACGAATGAATCTGATCATTGTAGGTGGAAAGAAAATAATTGGTTAAAATGATGCTTTTAGCTTCTCTGTAAATTTTTGGTTGTTTCTTCTGATCATTGTGTCTCGAAAACAAACTGGTAAATTTTTAGAAATTCTAGCTAATTTTGAATTCATTTCCTTTCCACTCAGAAAGGGATTTTTCCTGTGGCTACAATTCCCATTACCCAGAGAAATGTCATTGACTCACTGGATCTTCACAGCCAGGAGTTCATGGTTGGTGCAAACAGTATGCTCCAGTCTATCCAGAGGTGCTTCAGAAGAAAGGCCTGGTGATCTACTTCCAAAACATCAGCCACTGGAAACCTTATGGAGCATGGTTTTACTCTAACACATGTGGTATCAACATGTGTCTGTTTTTTCAAAGCCAAGTCCAGAAATAAGGGTACTCATTAAGATAATCTTCATCTATTTGTACATGACCAGTATTAGCCACTGTTTCTCCCTGGACCACCGCTGTACCCATGAGTCATCTTGTCTCTTAGAATTCCGCCTGACCCTTCTTTCCCACCGTGATCCCCCACCTCCAACTTCTGGTGCTGCAGCATGAGTCCTAACACAGCTGGCAGCATCTGGGTAAGGCAAGGACCCAGGATCAGCATGCAGGGGCAGGTATGTTCTGAGGGAGAAGGGTCTCACTCCTTATCCACCACTCCAAGCTTAGATTTGGCCACCCAGGAAAAGCTATCAGTGACCTAAGTTGCAGAATTTGGTAGCAGTGACTGTAATAATTGTAAACTGTCTTCTTTAGACATTAAATTGTATATCTGCAATTTGGATTTTGACCTTGTAAGAAAGCACTTTTTCACAATAGTCCAAATTACTGAAGTTTAGGTTCATGTCTGCTTTTAATTTTTATCTAATAGATATAGTGGCTTCCATCCATTAGAAGGAGTGCAAGTATAATTTTGGGTACCCAATGAGTGAGCTTAATAACTCCCCTATTAGACAAGAGAGTGAAATCTGTGTTGTAGGGGAGAATGCTTGAACACTTCAATAAGTACAACCTCTTTGTCAAAGGCAAACTGGTTTCTGGAAGGGGAAATCCTATCTAGCTAATCCACTCAACTTAATTTCTTTTTGGAAATTAATGAATAAATCACAGAAGTTCTTTCAGAGCTTGAAAAAATATTTGGACTGTTAAGTGGAAAAATTACTAGATATCATATCTATATTTTTAGAAAAGTTTAATATAACCTATTCCTCAAAGTCAGTCATGGTATGATTTGGTGACAATGTATTATGAAAGATAAAAGTGATGGTGTGCTGAAGGTATCTCCTACAGGCTCGTGGGCCAGTTGTTAAATTTGCCGGGATTTTGCAAGCCCCTTGATATCAATTTAGCTAGCTGGTTGATAGCTTAAACTGGCCATTGTAGGGATATTTAAATCATGGAAATCAGCAAACACTACAAATCAGTCCTCCCACTCCCTACTCTACCTTCTACCCCTGTCCCCAGAATGGGTTGTTAAGCATTTACCAGCATATCCCTGGGTAAGAGATTGATTTAGAAATACAGAACAAAGGGTGGGACAAACGGAATAAACTCTGAAGAAGTATAAATAGATGCTTCCCCAGAGTTCAGTATTGGAACTAATCTTGTTTACCATTTTTATAAATGTTCCTATTTTTCAGATGGCATTAAATGTTTCCAGAGTTAAACCTGTGGGATTAGCACCCAGAATTCATGGTAAAACTGTGTGAATTGGCTAAAAATATAGCAGATGGACTCTAATAAAGCAAGAGTAAGGCAATTTGGAGGAAAATTACCTTAAAATACTCTTGATAAATTCTAACCTTTGTGTTATGATTTAGAAATGAAACTTAATAATTTCAGTAGTTTTTCAATGTTTATTAGTATATGTTGTTAGCTTTGATCAAAAAGGCCACTTAAATGCCAGGTCCCATCAGAAGCTCTGGAAACAAAATGGAATAACTGTCCCACCCTTGTACAGAAACCTTAGTGCACACTTCCCGCAGTTTTGGTTGACATGCTTCAAGGATAATGTAATGGAGCTGGAGAAGTTTCAGAGAAAAGTGTGTAACCTGATCTGGGGATTATAAGAATCTCAGATGAGGCTAAGAGTTTATTAACTAGAAAATCATGAAAGGGTTTGAAAAAGGTAAATACAGATATATTAAGTAAATCGTGAAAAACTAGAACTATAGAGTACACCCTTGATGTTTGAAATAATTTGTAGAAGAAATAAAAAGCAGCACACTATTGTTTCTCAAGGAAAAGAAGTAATAATGATAGCAAAAGTAACATTGCACCTCAATGTTTAGCTTTTGTGAATTAAAAAAAAAATTAGGCTTACATATTTTTAACATGCAAAACTCACTGTATATTTCTTCTAATCAGTCGCCTTCCTGTCATTAACTAGGCTCTAGCAATGGGAGGAAGAATGAGACGTTTCTCCCTTCAACACTTACGTTGTGAGAACATTTAACATTTTTTGTTGCTGCTATTTGTTTTTTAAAGGCAACTTAAAACAGAAAGAAATGAAAGGGCCATGCCATTATGATTGTTTATTTTCACTGTTGAACTCCCCAGGTTGAGATGTGCTCCCAAAACGTTTTTGAACTTTATAAAGAAATTTAAAAACCGGTTGTCATTGAGTCAACGCTGACTCCTGGTGACCCCATGTGTGTCAGAGTAGAACTGTGCTCCATAAGGTTTGACCCTGACTTATAGCCACCCCATGTCTGTCAGAGTAGAGCTGTGCTCCATAGGGTTTTCAATGACTCATTTTTTGGAAGTAGATCACCAGGCCTTTCTTCCGAGGTGCCTCAGAGTGGACTTATATCTCCAAACGTTTGGTTAACACACACCAGGGACTCCTTCCTCACAAATAAAAATTAAAAAAAACCATTGCCATGGAGTCAATTCCAACTCATAGCGACCCCACGTGTTTCAGAGTAGAACCGCACTCCATAGGGTTTTCAATGGTTGTGATCTTAGGGTCTCTATGAGTTGAGATTGACTCGATGGCACATAACAACAAATCTTACAGTATGACCTTTCTTCCATGGCACTGCTGGGTGGATTCAAACTGGCAGTCTTTCCCATTAGTAGTCGAGCAAACCATTTGCACCACCCAGGGACTCCTTCCTCACAATAGTGGGTGTGAAAAACTAGGGCTGCTTACTTATAATGAAACAAACAAATGTCTTTCAAAATAGAAAATAAGATCTTTATTATCTTAATAATATAAACTTCAGAAAAAATGATTTTAATGTTTGCAATATTAATGTATCTGTCTACTCTATAGCTTTTTAATAGTTTAGAATTAAATGTCAGGGGTAACCTATAGATGCTAAAGCTCCGGCAAGCGACCTAAACATGTTACTTTTTTTTTTTTAACGAAATACGTATATTCTGAAGAATACACAAACCAGAGTATTATACAGCATAATGAATTTTCAGAATGAACGCATTTATGTAACCACTACCTAGTGTAATGTACTTTATATGTGTGTGTGTTGCATTTACAGTATACATCATACTAATCATCAATTGTAAATTCAAAGAAAATTTATTTGTATTCATATTTAAAAGATTGAGATTTAAGAGGATATTATAACCAAACCAAAAATAAAACCAGTTGCTGTTGAGTGGACTTCAATTCATGGAGACCCCAAGTGTGTCAGAGTAGAATTGTGCGCCATGAAGTTTTCAACGGCTGATTTTTCCAGGGCTTCGAGCTGGTTAGAAAAGTTTCAGTCATGGCCATTGTAAACAAGTGCAGCCTATGTGTTGCCCATTAGATTTTGACCTGAGTAGGAAACAAACAGCGGTGCCCGCCTCAAAGATGGCAGCCAACCTCGCTGCTTTGCATGTGTGTCGATGGCAGCCAACCTCGCTGCTTTGCATGTGTGTCGCTGGCCACAGCCCTGCCAATAATCCAGTCTCTTGCATTAGGCCCTTGAAACATTAAAAGTGGAGCAGTCGGCCATCATCTTTGAGCAGGGCACCTCAGTTCCCTAAACCCAAAAAAAACCAAACCCATTGTTGTTCAGTCAATTCCAACTCACAGGTTTGTTCCCTACTGGGGTCAAAATCCTATGGGGCAACAGATTTAGTTGCTGTGCAGTGCTGACAGCCATGACTAAATCTTTTCAAACGGATTGGAAGCCCTGGATTTTTCTGAAGTAGATGTCCAGAACTTTCTTATAAGGCGTCTCTGGATGGAGCTGAACTTACAACCTCTTGGTTAGTAGTAGAGTGTGTTAACTCTTTGGGGCTACCTAGGGAACTCCATAATAGAATATTATGGTAGGATTCCAACTTTCCAGGGAGGTTATACTGTTGTTGTTGTTGTTTTTACTTTTTGTTTATTTTAAACACCTTACCATATGTCTTCGCAGTAATTCATTTGAAATGTAGGAGAGGTGAGCATCCCAGAGTTTTAGGTGGTAGAGAACAAAGTGGATAACTTGTTATCACGCACGTAGATCCATCATTCAGATTTGTTACACAACTTGAATGAAGCCACTAATGGCGTTTTGTTTGTTTTGTTAAAAAGAAGATAACTTTTAAAACAAGAAGAAAACGCACACCAAACCGACAAGTAGCCGTGTGGCAATACTGCGAACAGAATGTGAGAAAGGACTAACATTAAAGAAACAAATTTTCTTAAATTAAATACCGTGACTAAGTAATTCCTTTTCTCCCAGCCCTAAAGGATCATTTGAAATTGACCCTTTCAAGTTGAAGGGGAATAGCCTGAACTCTCTGCTACCCTTGGGGATGCGGTCCCCGAGCCTCAGGGCGGCGGCAGGACCAGCCCGGGCTCCCTCCCTCCCACCCCACCCTCCTCCCTGTGACCCTTGACCCCAGCTAATCTGCATAGAGGAATGACAGGCATCCGCTGGGCAGGATCCGCCGCGCCGGCTCCGGCCGGCCGGGCTGGGAGACCCGCGCCAGGGAGGAGGCGAGGGGACCCGCGGGCAGCGCCGCACAGGCCGGGAAATGAGCGCTTGCAAATCTGCCTGGGAACGGACCCATGATCCAGGGACCAAAAGAGCCGCATGATCGTTGGACCTGGCCCTGCGACCCCGGACATGGGCCAGACCTCGGTGTCCACGCTGTCCCCACAGCCCAGCAGTGGTGAGTCCGGGGCTCACAGGATGCGCTCCCGTGGCGCGGGCCCTGGGCTGGCTCCCCAAAACGCAAAACCGAGGGCTCTCGCCCGGTCGGGTTCTGCTCTGACCCACGAAGTCCCTCCGGGAAACCGGAGAGGTAGCACTCCCTAAACTCTTTGTAGTAGAAGAGTGGAATGTCTTTTGGGATCCAGCCGATTTTACCTTAAAGGCACAGGCCCCTTTTTTGTACGGGATGCCTCGGTTGGGTTTGTATCGGAATTCCTTCTGAGCCAGAAAGTTACTGTGTTTTGGTAAAACGCGAAACTTAGAGAGCAGGATAAACCTGCCAACAGACTTTTTCTGTATTTACACTTGGCTTCCGAACAGACTTTAACTGAATTCTTTCAAGCTTGTCAACTGATTTATGGTTTGTTTTTCGAGTAGTAGTGCTGATCGCCTTCTCTTATCCTGGCAGAACGCTCAATACTTAAATAACCAACTACAAGAAAATACGTAACTTTCAAATGATACTTGTTTTGTTTATGTTAGACACATAAGTTATAAAATTTAAGGAAACATATCTCATGAACGTAATTATTGAGGGCCAAAGTTTGTCTTATGGAAACGTATTGTAACGTTTCTGAGTTATAATGTCCTGTTTCAAAAGTTTCGCTTTTCCATTTTCTTAAACAAAAAAGGGAAGGAAGGTACTATGTCTGGCATTTCCCCAGAGATGTAGGGAAACAGCCTTTTTGTGGGTTTACTTGTGATTGGATAATGAGGAAATAAATAAGAAGGTGCTATTTTGATAAGTTTCTATCAACGATTTAAAAAAAGAACCTTAGAGGGGCCATTTATGTTATGCACTGAGATATTTGATACACTTTTAAAATTATGCAAACATCAACAGGATCTTGGTGAAAGGAAATGACAGGGCAGAGAGGAAGGTTTTTAAATCTACTCCAGGATGTCTGGCTAGATAGAATGATCACACACACACCCCAGTCCCTCTCTGGATGGGTTTGTTTATATTGCAGAACTTCACTCCCTGAAATATCATAAGCTTTCCTGGAGTTTATGAACTCTCTGCAAAGGAGAGAAAATCAGAATCCAAAAAAAGAGTATACTTTCCCTTACTGTTAATGACCTAGTGTGTTCTGGAACATCAAAGAGGCTTCATGTTGATTAGTTATTGAGTTCGTGTGTTTTTTTTTTTTTAGTTGTTAATTAGATTCTTAAATACAGTAAATTTGTGCAAATAAGTATTGGTTTCCTTTGTTTTACTTTAAAGCAGCGTGCAATAAAAGAGTTATATTTTTTGACTTCTGTACTGCCAATGCATAGCATTAAATCAATACTACTACAGGTATATAGAAAGTGTTGTGCTTTAATTCTTTTGCCATAAAATATCATTAGAGTTAATACTAGAAATGTCTATTTTACGTTCACAAAAATCAAGGAATATTATATAAATGATGTCTAAGAACCAGAGTAGAATCCTAAACTGTGACTGTCCTAGTTCTTACCTAGAGAAAAAAAACAAACCCACAGGTAATTCCTAATAAAATGACTAATCACAGCAAGAGATCGCTCAGCTTAGAAAACAAAAAGTGGTGCTTTATGCTTGACCATAGAGATATTTCAGAGAACTGTCTCACAGATGGTGTTACACTTTACATTGCTGGTCGTCAGTTTTGTTGATTTAAAGTTTGTCAGTTAAGGAATGATAATGGTTATTGACTGAAGCTGTAGTATTATAAGAATGATTTTCTCATGACATCCACTTAAGTTCTTGAAGTTTACTACTGTCATTTACTCTAGTTCCCTGAAGTTTTGCCCTCAGATGCTAACCAACAACAATAAAAGCAGAAAACTTTTGGTCGGTTTTTTGTTCATATGTGTGTTCTTCTCTTGAGTCTGAGTCAAACCCTCTACTCTCCCAAATACCGGTATTTTGTTCACTCCTTGTTAGCTGTTCGACTCTGGCTTTACAGATGGTGTGAAGATCCTTGTTCTGTTTGATCACAGCCGTCTACTAGTTGGTTGCAGTCTTGAGCAGCTGCTAGGGATTACAGTGTTGAAGACAATTCTCATCTTAAATGGTGAGTGGAGTGGAGGGCGAGAGGCATCTCTTTCAGTCTAATGAATCAATAGCAGAGTCTAATTGTTCATAATTTGGGCTTTTGTAAAAATCATCATTATAGGTCACAAGTTAGCTTGCTTCTCACTCTCCTAACTTCAGACTCTCTTGAGCCTTTTTCAGTTTAGGGCTGCATCTATTTCTCTGGTTCCTAGAAAGACCATTAATAATTGTTTCCAAAAACATGCAACGAGACCCGTTATTTCCTTTTTTAAAAGCAGCTATATTTGAAATATAATTTACATGCCATATAATTCACCCACTTAAATTGTAAAATTAATTTTTTTAGTATAATCACAGTTTTGTACAACCATCACCACAATCTAAACTTAGAACAATTAATTTTGTCTACTCTAAAAGAAACTCCGTACACCATTAACAGTCAATCCTACCCACCCTTAGCCCTAAAAACCCAAAACCTGTTGCCATGGAGTCGATTTCAACTCACAGTGACCCTATAGGACACAGTAAAACTGCCCCCATAGGGTTTCCAAGGCTGTAAATCTTCATGGAAACAGACTGCCACATCTTTCTCACGAGGAGTGGCTGGTGGGTTCCAACCAATAATCTTTCGGTTAGTGGCCAAGTGCTTAACGACTGCACCACTAGGACTCCCCCAGCCCTACGCAACCACTAATCTACTTTCTGTCTTAATGAATTTGCCTATTCTGGACATTTCATATAAAAGGAATTATACTGTATGTGGTCTTTTGTGACTGGCTTTTTTCACTTACCATGTTTCAAGGGGCATCTATGTTATAGAATATATCCGTACTTGTTTCTTTCTATTGCTGAATAAATTTTCATTGTATGGACATACCACAGTTTATTTATCCATTCATCAGTTGATGGACATTTGGGTTATCTCTACTTTCTGGCTGTTATGAATAATGCTGCTATGAACATTGATGCACAAGTTTTTATGTAGACATACGTTTTCAGTACTCTTGTTTATATGCCGGGGAATGAGATTGATAGGTCATGTGGTAACTATGTTTAATATTTTGAGGAAGTGCTAGACTGTTTTCCAAAGCATCTGCACCATTTTTCATTCCTAGCAGCAGTGTATGAGGGTTCCGATTTTTCTGCATCTAGGCCAATACTTCTTACTGTCTTTTTCACTATAGCCATCCTAGTGGGTATGAAGTATTTATTTTATTGTGGTTTTGATTTGCATTTCCCTAATGACTCACGACATTGAACATCTTTTCAAGTGCTTATTGGCATTTGTACATTATTTTTCAAGAAATGTCTATCTAAAGACCTTGTCCATTTTTAATTAGGTAGTTTAGCTTTTTGATTGCATTATAAGAGTTCTTTGGTTACTTGATACAACCCCCTTATCAGATATATGATATGCAAATATTTTCTCCCATTCCCTGGGTTTTCTTTTCACTTTCTTGGTAGTATGGCTTCCAGCTCAAACATTTTTAATTTTGATGACATCGAATTTGTCTATTTTTTTATTTTGTCACTTGTGCTTTTGGTGTTGTATCTAAGAAACTATTGCCTAACTAAGGTCTTGAAGATTTAAAGTTATGTTTACTTCTAAAAGTTTTATCGTTTTGTTTCATATTTAGGTCTACAGTACATTTTTGAGTTAATTTTTGTGTATGGTTTGAGGTACGGGCCCAGCTTCATTCTTTTACATGTAGGTATCCAGTTGTCTCAGCCCTATTTGTTGAAAAGACTTCTTTTTTCTCCACTTAATTGTTTTGGCACCCTTGTGAAAAATTAATTGATCACAAATATAAGGGTGTATTTCTGGTCTCCTAATTCTATTCCATTTATCTATATGTCTATTCTTATGCCAGTATCACACTATCTAGGTTACTATACCTTTGTAATGAGTTTTGAAATTGGAAAATGTGAGTCCTCCAACTTTGTTTTTCTATTTCAAGATTCTTTTGACTATTCTGAGTCCCTTGATTTTCCATGTGAATTTTAGGATCAGCTTGTGAATTTCTACAAAAAAAGCCAGGTGAGATTTTGATTGGGGTTTTATTGAATCTGTAGATAAATTTGGGGAGTATTACCATCTAAACAATACTAAGTCCTCCAATTCATGGACATGGATCTTTTTATTTATTTAGGTCTTCTTTAATACCTTTCAGTATTTTCTAGTTTTCAGTGTACAGCTTTTGCTCTTCTTTTGTTAATCCTTAAGTATTTTATTCTTTTTGATACTATTGTAACTGAAATTATATTCTTATTTTCTTTTCAGAATGTCCATTGCTAGTATATAGAAATACAAAAAAAAAGATTTTGTATATTGATCTCGAACCCTGCAATCTTGCTGAACTTGTGTATTAATTCTAATAGATTTTTTCTTCTTTTCCAATCTGAATGTCTTTTATTTCTTTTTCTTGCCTAATTGCTCTTGCTAGAACCTTCACTACAATGTTAAATAGAAGTGACAAAAGTAAACATCCTTGTCTTGTTCCTGATCTTAGCGGGAAAGCATTCAGTCTTACACGATTAAGTATGATGTTAACTGTGTGTTTTTCATAGCTGCCCTTTATCAGGTTGAAGATGTTCCCTTCTGTTTCTAGTTTGTGAATATTTTTATCATGAAAGTGTGTTGGATTTTGCCAAATGCTTTTTCGGCCTTTAATAAGATGATCATATTGTTTTTGTCCTTTATTATATTAATACTGATTAATGTGAATCAATATTGTATTAATATTACATTAGTTGATGTTCAGGTATTAAACCAACCTTGCGTTCCTGGGATAAATCCTACTTGACTGTGGTATATAATCTTTTTTATATGTTTCTGGATTTGGTTTGCTAGTATATGTTGCTGGATTTGGTTTGCTAGTATTTCTAAGCATAAGCTAAACAGGTATGCCCCTAAATAGTGTGGTTCCAATACTGGAGGGTTG